CTGAGTGTGCAAATGCTAGGATTGTAGCTCCCTCTCGTGCAGATGTGCACAGGAGAGCTCCTTGTGCCATTGCCCTGCTATTTTACACCCACAGCCTGGTCCCATCTGTTTAACATTTAGGTCCCAATTCTGAGCTATTTGCAAGCCCCTCTGTCTCTCTCTCTTATGCTGTAAAGAGACCTGAAAGCAACTAAATTCCCCCAGCGCCATAGGGCTGGCACAATGACTTTATGCTCTCCCTCTTGCTGGAGCAGGGGTATGTCCGGAGTAATGCTTAGAGACCAGATGTGTTTGTAAAAGGAGGTATGTCTGCACTCTGACTAGTCTGTATCTGCACAGCAGTCCACAGGGGGAAACTGCCCTAAGCTGGAGCAGGCTCTCCTCTGCTCTAATTTATACCAGGGACCAGACCCAGAGTTCAGAGGTGCAAAGCCAACTTAAAGTCACATTTGATCCCCGCCTGCCAAGATAGTGTAGCTCAAAACCAGGGCCTCTGCCCTATGTCACAGTTCTTCTCCACTGCACCACTAAAAAGATTTAAAATTACATCAAACTTCTAGGCATTTAAAAGACAATGATGATATTATATGAGATTGAAATGGAGCAGTGTTTTATAAAGTGCTCATGTTGTTGACAGACTTTCTTTTTGCAGGATCCCCTTGGAAACATGATAATTATGTCCCAGGGGCTATACCTAGTCAAATGAATTATAATTACATAGCTATAAAAGCATTAGTGAGATCAGAATAGCCCCATGACTGGTACTTATTCCATATTAGGGAAATATATTTGTGGTAGCTTGAGTTCAGTCATAACAATGCATTTATTTTACTTCTGACAAAAGCTTAATGGGCTTTTAAACTTTAACATGAATACTCCCAGGCTTAGGACTAACAGACAAGAATACTAATGAGTGCATGCTACAAGTCTTAAAGTTTGGTGCTTTAAACCAAAGCTGCCTGATCATTTCAAGCCACACAATACCAGAAATGTATACTGGCATGAGTGTCTGGCTTTTTTACTGCAAAGCCTCAGCAACTGCTATTAAACTGCTATTGCCAGTGAAACTACTGTCAGAGCATATTATGCCCCTAAATCAGCTTTTCTGTCTTTGGGTGTGTCTAGTCTACAGTGCAAAAAAGGTATGCTCTTCTTTGAGTGATTGCTCATATCGATTCCAATTAGGTGTGTGTGCACAGTCATCAGAAAGTTTTTCCCCTAGCAGCACCCGACGGGTTGGCTGTGGAGCCTCAGAAAGTGGCGCCTTCATGGCACTCAATATATGACCCTGCTGACCTGGCACCTCCACAGTTCCTTCTTACCCCCCGTGACAGTTGTTGGAACTGTGGTGTCTTGCTTCGCAAGCTCTCCACATGTTCCCTAGCTTCGTACTGTTCGTGTTCCATAGTTGATTAGTTTATAGTTAGTTCATAGCTAATGTAGTTCGAGTTAGTTATTTAGTTAGCTGATGGGTTGTGGGGGGGTTACCCTCCACCCTGACTGCTTTCTCCCTTGGGGACTTACATGCCTTAGTACCAGGGGTTCAAGTCCTGCAATAAGACCATGCCAACGGATGACCCCCATGACACTTGCTTAAAGTGTCTCGGGGAAATGCATCAGTTTGAAAAGTGCAGGATTTGTAAGGGCTTGTGCCCCCGAACCAAGAAGGAGCGGGATTTTAGACTGAAGCAGCTCCTTATGGAGGTGGCACTTAGACTGCATCCCACATCGGTGCAACAGGACCCAGCACCAAGTTCATCGGTGCGCAGTGCCCCAACGGTAGTTGCAGAAGCGGCACTGTGGAAGGACTCTGGTCAAGACCTGCAGCACCGCTGCTCCCCGGCACCGAAGCCGGTGGGAACAGCCCAGCACAGATCCCATTCACCAGCACAGAAGTGGCACCAGAAGCAGGGGAGGAGTGGTTCCCTGGCTTTGGGATCCACCCCCTCGGAGCCGGTTAATGGGGCGCGTCCCAGGAAGGAGCTCCCAGCAATGAAAACTTTGGAGCCTGCACCATCAACTTCGGCCCCACGAGGGGGACTGTCGAGTCCAGTGCAGTTGGACTCCCCGTGTCAGGTGGTGGAGGAGGTAGAACTGCCTTCTATCCTGGACACCTTTGAGGCTGCAAGAGAACTCATTGCGATGATGGCACCGAGGTCCCCGGCCCTTCACGCTAAGCCTCTGATACCGCAATGGGCGGCACTGTCCCGAGGAAAGCCGGCCATGATATGCTCCTCGACTCAGCCCGCAGAAGCAAGACACCACTCAGAGTCGCGGCACTGCTCGGAGTCCTGGCACCGCTCAGAGTTGCGGCACTGATCGGACTCACTGCGCCGGTCTGACTTGCGGCCCAGCTCAAGGTCCTGCCAGTGCTCCCACTCACAACACCGATCACCTTCGCGCAGTAGGTCAGCAGCCAGTTGTCCCGTCCCTAGGGATGCAGAGGAGTTGGCGGTTGCACCACCTCCTCTGGAACCCGCCCCTGTTCCTGAGCCAGACCCTGGAGCAGCTGGCACGGAACTCGAGGTGGGGCAGGAGGTCCCTGAGAACCAAGAGGGTCAGGAGGATCCAGTTCCCCCACTAGCATCCTTGTCCGCCTCCCCGGACGAGGCGATGGCAGGCACCTCTGCCTTGGGACCCTCCCCTATAGATAGCCAGGCCCACCAGGACCTCCAATGCAGGGTGGCACGGAATATGAACCTGCAAGGCGAGGAGGTGGTAGAGTCGAAGGACCCTATGGTGGACATCCTGGCACCAGAAGGGCCAACCAAGGTCACTCTACCCCTCATCAAAACTATACAAGCCAGTGCAAGGACCATTTGCCAGACCCCGGCCTCCAATCTTCCCACAACTAAGGGTGTGGAGAGGGAGTACTTTGTATCCTCCAAAGGGTATGAGTACCTGTTCACACACCCACAGCCTTGCTCATTAGTAGTGGCTGCTGTGAATGAAAAGGAAAGGCAAGGACAGCAAGCCCCAGCATCTAAGTCCAAGGACACCAAGTGCCTGGATTTATTCAGACGCAAACTATACTCCATGTGGGGCTTGCAACTCAGGATTGCCAACCAGCAGGCAATCCTGAGCAGATACAGTTTTAACTCCTGGAACTCAATGCTGAAGTTTAGGGAGCTGGTTCCAGCAGAGTCCAGGGAGGAGTTTGGGGCAATTGTTGAGGAGGGCAAGGCAGTGACACGGACCTCTTTACAGGCCTCACTGCTGCAGACTCAGCAGTGTGCATCTTGTCCTCAGGGATAGCTATGAGGCATAGCTCATGGCTGCAGACCTGGGGACTCCTGCCCGAGGTTCAACAAACTATGCAGGACCCACGGCCGGCTCTAAGATTTTTGCCGCCCCAAGCAAAAAAAAATTTGGCCGCCCCCCCCCCCACTTTTTTTTCGTGCCCCTCCTGCCCCCGGCCCCGCCCCAACTCCACCCCTTCCCCAAATCCCAGACCCACCTCCTCCTCCGGGCATGCCGCATTCCCCCCCCCATTGCTTCCTGCGGGCCCCCCGCAACCTCCCGCCCTAGCTCACCTCCGTTCCACCTGCTCCCCCTGGCACGCTGCCACTGCACTTCTCCCCCGTCCCTCTCAGCAGAGCAGCGGCGCGTTCAGAGCGGAGGTGAGCTAGGGTGGGAGGTGCAGGAAGTAAAGGGGGGGTAGAGGAACTGCTCACCTCTGCTCCACCACCGCCGCCTCCCCCAAGCCGCCCCCCCCCCCGCTCGGCTTCTCCTCCCTCCCTCCTTCCCAGCCTTGCTGCGCGAAACAGCTGTTTTGCGCGCGGCAAGCCTGGGAGGGGCGGGGGTAAGCGGAGCGGCGGTGCATTCAGGGGAGCAGGCGGAGCGGAGGTGAGCTAGGGTGGGGGGCACAGGAAGTAACGGGGGTAGAGGAACCGCTCCCCCCTCCAGCTCACGTCCGCTCCACCACTGCTGCCTCCCCCGAGCGCCCACCGCTCGGCTTCTCCTCCCTCCCAGCCTTGCTGCGTGAAACAGCTGTTTCCTGCGTGGCAAGCCTGGGAGGGAGGGGGAGAAGCGAAGCAGCAGCAGCGCGCTCAGGGGAGCAGGTGGAGGCGAGCTGGGGCGGCGGGGGCACTTTTTCCCCATGCCCCGGAGTTGGCGCCTATGATGGCCGGCGCCAGAATGCCACCCCTAGAAATGTGCCGCTCCAAGCACCTGCTTGTTTTGCTGGTGCCTGGAGCCGGCCCTGGCAGGACCTACCCTTTGATGTGGTGGGTCTGTTTGCCAAACAGACGGACTCCAGGCTACATAGCCTCAAAGACTCCAAAGCAATAATGAAATCTTTGGGTATGCACACCCCGGCAACCCAATGAAAGCCCTATAAGCCCCAATTGCCGCAACAGCGGTCATATCCTCCTCGGCCGAGGTAGGAATGGCAAGCGCAAGCCCTCCCATCCCCCGTCCGAACAGGGCCAGGGCCCGACTAAGCTTTCATCAGGCTCAAAACAGACATTTTGAAGGTGCGCCCGAGGACGGAGCACCTGTCTCAATGCCGTATCCTTCCCCGTATTTTTTGAACCATCTATCCCACTTCTACTGTGCGTGGTCCCAAATAACATCAGACACGGTAGAAGTGGGATATTCTCTCCAATTCTGCTCCTACCCTCCTTCCCACCCCCATTCCCCGTCCCTCTTCAGGGACCCTACTTATGAGCAACTCCTTATCCTGGAGGTGCAATCACTCCTCGCCATGGGAGTGGTGGAGGAGGTTCCTCAGGGGTGGGGGATTTTATTCCCATTATTTCCTAATCCCCAAAGCTCAGGGGGGTCTCAGACCCATTCTAGATCTGCGAGGACTCAACAAGTTCATGGTGAAGTTGAAGTTCCGCATGGTCTCCCTCAGCACAATATCCCTTCTCTGGATCCGGGAGACTGGTTCGCTGTCCTCGACATGAAAGACGCATAGGAAATTCAGAAATAAAATTCCCACAGCAACATTAGTTGTGCTCCCTCGTATGTATATATAATACGGTCTCTCATTGCAGGATCACATTCTGCTATGTGCAATGTGGCATACTTTGGGGGAACGTTGAAGAGTTCTGTGATCTGTTACAGAGGGAGCGGGGTAAAGGTATGTCTCTGTCAACAAATGGTCCTTACCTTCTTGTACAAATGAAACACAAATTATATTATAACATTATTGAAATTAAGTATATGGAAATTAGCTGTCTTTTCTAATACACAAATACAGTGTACATTTTATTATGGGTTTTTTACCATTGTATTAAGGATAAATAAAACCAATTATTTTCTGAGCACATGCACCTCTCCACATTAAGCATTGAGTCCCATCTATCTGTTGTCGTCTTGAGGAGATGCTGGAAGGCTGTTATTCTTTGGTGTTTTCTGGGGCATCTGGTAGCCTTGCTACCCCTTCTGCCATTGAAGGAAAGGGAGGTCAAATGGTAGACAGGTCCATATACTTGCCAACAGTCTCAAACTGAAGTCAAGGGGAGCTGGTGGGTGCTTGGCCCTTCTAAAAATCAGGTCACTTATTCATTTTCCAAATGCTGCAAACACTTATACCATGCTTAACTCTACTGCTGTGAGCAATCTCTCTGAACTCAATGAAATTACTCACGGTAGTAAAAGTAAGCACCAGGGCTGGTTCCAGGCACCAGCTTGCCAAGCAGGTGCTTGGGGCGGCCACTCCGGAGAGGGGCAGCACGTCCAGCTATTCAGCGGCAATTCGGCAGACGGTCCCTCACTCCTACTTGGAGCGAAGGATCTCCCGCCGAATTGCAGCCCAGATCACGATCGCAGGGGTTTTTTTTGTTTTTTTTTTGCCACTTGGGGTGGCAAAAACCCTGGAGCCGGCCCTGGTAAGCACCCAGGTAAATCTTTGCAGGATCAGAGTACAAATATGGATTTAGGAGCCTAAGGCCTGGTCCCCACTAAGCCCCCACTTCGGACTAAGGTACACAAATTCAGCTACGTTAATAACGTAGCTGAATTCGAAGTACCTTAGTCCGAACTTACCGCAGGTCCAGACGCAGCAGGAAGGCTCCCCCGTCAATGCCGCGTACTCCTCTCGGCGAGCTGGAGTACCGGCGTCGACGGCAAGCTCTTCCGGGATCGATCCGGGATCGATTTATCGCGTCTTAACCAGACGCGATAAATCGATCCCAGAACATCGATTGCCTGCCGCCGGACCCTCCGGTAAGTGAAGACGTACCCTAACTTTTGGCTCCCATCTTTAACTATCTTTGCCATATTGTATATAACTTTCTCTGCCTACAGAGAGACTACTGTACAATAGTCATCTTGACCCAGATCATCATATGTATTTATGCACATTAAATAGAATGTGCATAAAAAGTGTTCATTCTGTCTAACACTAATAAGTATATTAAAAGATAATAAAAGATTATCCATTTGACCATTGTTTTAACTTACAAAGTGCGGCTAATGACAATATGTCTTTGCTGTAAAATGTTAAATAGTCCTGTGAATTAAAGTACTAACCTATCACCGCTGGTTAAGAAATACAGTTCAGGCCATAAGTGAAATGAGTTTCTTGGTCTCACCCTAGGCCCTTCTTGCTTTTTGTCCATGTACAGGATACTGCATCATTGCTGGTGAAGGGTAGCTGGAGATGGGGAGGGCAGTTGAAGTCAGGACTGAAACGTTTTGGCAGAGTTGTGAAGGAAAGATTGCATCGCACCTAGCTATAATTCATTTCTTTGTGCCTCAGTTTCCCAATCTGTAAAAAGGGGATAATGACACTGACCATCTTTGTAAAGTGCTTTGAAATCTACAGATGGTACCTGATGGGACATCAGCCCCAATCTCATCCAGTTCAAATAAGTGTAAAAACAAATCCACTGAGATAAGTAATAGCAGAACACGTGATAGCTGTCAGCGATGGAGATATGGAAAGTAGAAAAGAGGGTTTCATTGCTACTAGTATGGCTACTGATTTATTAGAATGAACCACTTCCTAATGCTCTTTGACTATTTCTAATCATACTAATGCATACTTGAAACTCAAAGGGAAATATCTGGTAAATATAAAACTATGTGAAGGTTATCCACACCACTAAGGAGTGATCTCAAGCCTTCCAGAATATCATTATTTGCAGTATATAACAGTAACAAGGTGACAGGTTACGTAACAGGACCCTACATTGAAATACAGGGAGCCACTACTGAGTCATCATAAACTCAGGTGCTAAACCCTCTGTAAAGATGTTGTGTAATTAATGTTGATTCATGCTAGCACAGGGGTGGGCAAACTTTTTGGCCTGAGGGCCACATCAGGTTTCTGAAATTGTATGGAGGGCCGGTTAGGGGAAGCTGTGCCTCCCCAAACAGCCAGGTGTGGCCCGGCCCCCACCCCCTATCTGACGCCCCCACTTCTCGCCCCCTGACAGCCCTCCCAGGACCCCTGGCCCATCAACCCCTCCCTGTCCCCTGACCGCCCCCGGAACCCCTTCCCGCCCCCCCCTGCCGCCCAATCCAACCCCTCCTCTCATTCCTGACTGCCCCCCTGGGATCCCTGCGCCATCCAACCACCCCTTCTCCCTGTCCCCTGATTGCCCCTGGAACCCCTGCCCGACTGCCCCCTGCCGCCCCATCTAACCCCACCCTTCCTGACTACTCCCCCGGGACCCCTGCCCCCATTCAACCCCCCCATTCCCCGCCCTCTGACCGCCCTGCCCCCATCCACACCCCCGCCCCCAACCACCACCCTGAACTCCCCTGCCCTCTATCCAACCCCTCCTGCTCCCTGCCCCCTTACCGCGCTGCCTGGAGCACCAGTGGCTGACGGCGCTACAGCCGCGCAGCCCAAAGCACCAGGACAGACTGCGGCACTGCAAGAGCCCCGCCGCCCAGAGCATTGCACCAGTGGCGGAGCGAGCTGAGGCTGCGGGGAAGGGGGAATAGTGGGGGAGGGGCCAGGGGCTAGCCTCCTGGGGAAGTAGCTCAGACGCCGGGCAGGAGGGTCCCGCATGCCGGATGTGGCCCGCGGGCCGTAGTTTGCCCACCTCTGTACTAGCAGGTGGAACTTGTTAGCCTCAAATAGGATATAAGGTGTGGAGTGCCCCTGTGGGAAACTGGAAACCAAGGGCTGTGTTAGAGGAGGTGCTGTAACAAAGCCCCCAGAATAGCTTGGGGTAGGGGGAAGCTTAGGCTAAATCTGTTTTGTTATTTGAGCTACCTATAAAACCAAATCTCTCTTTGGACTATATCTGGTATCAACACTGTTTGAAGTGGGAGGGAACTCCACATTATAGAATCAAAAAGAGCTCCTGATACTCCAGAAATAAATTCTGCACTGCGTGTAGATTGTATAACATTCTCAGTCTAAAATATTTCTGTAAACCTGCAAGAGCTTGTTGGGGGATGAAGGTTAGCCATACCACGTTCCCTTCTCTTCACACCTTCTGTTCTTGTCCGACTAAATCCATACCTGACTTACACTGCTGGTCCTTGCTGAATGCAGGGAGCAAAACTGCCTTGGAAGTACTGAGAACAGGTAAGTTGCTTCTCAGACGTTTCCAAATCAGCAAAATTGGCCATTGGCCCTAAATTCTGTGCCTTCCATTGTCTCCTAGAACGGCTCTAAACAGAGCTAAGAGTAAAGTAAAGACATTCTGGAGGAAGCAGATCCTGTCAGTTTCAATGGAAAGCTATTGCTATTTCAGTAGCTCAGGCCTCTAGTAGCAGAGGGATGTTTTACTTTACTAGAACTGAGTTAAGGCACAGCCGTCACAGCTCCCTCAGCTCTCTCTCCCTTTCCCTTACTGATTGACTGACAAACCTTTCCCCCATTCTCCTATGTCTGATGTGGGACAGACTGTGCTTAGCAATCAGAGTGGGAAGAGAGAAGCTGGATGCGAGTGTTAAATAAAGGACTGTGGACAGCCTCCAGGGACCCTTGTCCACACTCTCATTCTTCACTTTCATGCTGCTTGCCAGTACAGGAGGCAGTCACACACATCCCCAATTTATTATAGGAGATGCTTAATTTAAGCCATTGTGGTGTGTGGGTGGGGGGAGATAATTTGGGCTTGCAGTTTTGAAAGCAAGTGCTCTCTGTTGAACAAAAGCTCAGAGAAGGCGACTGGAATATAATGGGCCAAATGACACCTGGGCAAATGTCACTGATTTAAAAGAAATTCCCCCAGTGATGAAAAAAAAACATGTTTTACTGGTAGCAATGTCAAACAAGTTGTGTGTGTGTGTAGAGAGAGTGAGACTGTGACACAAAAACAGCTGCCCACAGCAACACCAAGGTTTAATAGCAGGAGGCAGGAATCAAAAATCAAGTTACAAAAATAAAAAAGGAAGTAAGGAATAGTTTCAATAAAGGAATGCAAATGAAGACTACATAAAGTACACTAATATGCTATGAAGCTGCTACAGAAAAAGTTGTGACCCAATGCAAGAAAATAGTCTGACAGAAATCTAAATTAATCCAAGAGATTCATGATTATGTCCATGCTGGATGAAAAACCTGTTAAGATTATTTTAATTCTGTGGCAAATGTCCCAGTAACTCCTAACCCACAAGGCACATGCTGATGTATTCCACTGCTCTGTTTACCAAAAACCTAGCCAAAAATAAAAGGAAAGTCTTGGGAGTGTAGTCTGGTCTTTGGCTTGCAGAACAGACTGTCACATTACTGTCTGAGAAATGCCCGCAGAAGAGGTCTTTTGATAATGTGTCGTGAATCTCCTGCTCATGGTCTATAAAGAAGCTTCTGTTTAATTTTCCAGGGAGTTGTGAATACTGGAAAGGAATTCAGCCTGTATCACGATTCAGTTCCTGATGCACCAGTTCCAAAGTCTGCTGGCCCCTGGGAGAGGAGAAGAAATCTCACTCCGCCTTGTTTGTTTATACAGACCACAGCATCGATACATTATCTGAATATGGAGTGAGTGTAAAGGTGGAAGGAAGGCCTTCCATGCAAGGTGGACTGCCCTCAGTTCCAGTAAAAGTTTATATGTAATCTGGCCTTTCGTGGGGTCCAGGTACCCTGAGCAGTATGGTTGTCCAGGTGAACACCCCATCCCAGAAGGCTGGCCCTGGGTGGTGGGAGGGCTGAACGGAACTCCCACCATGACCTTTTCTGGGTTTGACCAGCAAGTTAGAGGAGGGACAACTCTGGCAGGAATAACCACCCTGGAGTTGATGTGGCCCATGCTTGGCCGATAGGTCAAGTGGAGCCAAACCTGCAGGCACTACAAGTGGAGTCTGTCAAAAGGAGTCATGTAGGTGCACATGGCCATGTGGGCTAACAGTGAGAGGCACTTGTGCGCTGTGGTTTGTGGTCTGTGAGTGATGTGTGAAATCAGGGTGCTCAATGCATGAAACCTTTCTGAGGGGAAGAACACTCACAGAAATTGAGTCCAAACTTGCCCCTATAAAGTTTATTGACCTTGAGGGTAACAAAAACAGACTTTTCTTCGTTTATGCAAATACTTAGGGCTGTTAAAAGTTGTATGAGAAACCTTGTCACCCACCTGACCTCCTGACGAGATCAGCCTACCAGAAGCCAATCATCCTGACATCTCATCTGGCCTGCTACCACGGAGAAAACACTTATTTGTAAATTTGTAATTCTAAATACTCTTAATTCTGTAGTCACCCCAAAGGGGAGGACTCAATACCAGAAGTGTTCCTGGCCTATCATAAAATGCAGAAATTTCCTGTGTGATGGATGAATATCCACATGAAAATATGTGTCCTTCACATTGAGAGCTTTAGTAACCACAGCCCCTATAGAAGAGGTGGTTGTAGATACCAGCATAAACATCCAGAACTTTAGCTTTCGAATAAAGATGTAACTTACCGAAGGTCCAAGATGGGTCTCCACCCTTCATCTTTTTGGGGAATTAGGAAATATGGGGAGTAGAACCCTCTCCCACAGTAATGAGATGGGAGGTTCTCTATTGCCCTGCAGTGTACGAGGGATTCTGCTTCCTGTTGAAGAATTGCCTTGTGAGAGTGGTCCCCGAAGTGGGACCTGGAAGGGGGTTTGTGAAGTGGGAAGGCAAGAAACACTACGGAATATCCCTGGTGGACAATCTCCAGAACCCAACTGTCCATAGTGATCTTGTTCCAGTTGTAGGTGAAGAGTGTAAGACAACCCCCACAGATAACAGAAGACAAGATGGTTGGCATCAGTGGTGGTACACGGGTCTCGACCAATATGTCAAAAGTAGTTCTTGGTTGGTGGCTGAGAGTGAGTAGAGCCTGTGGCAATAGCAGGCCTAGAATTGAGGTCTCTGAATCTTCTGGCGTTTGCGGGTCTGCTCAGCTATGCACTGGTAATAAGGTGCATGAGGAGGGGGTAGCATCAGTCTGTAGGGTTGCTTCTGGTGTCCCCTCCTAGGGGATAGGATATAAATCCCCAGGGAATGCAGAATCAGTCTCAAGTGAGTGCAGGGACTCATCTGTTTTTTTCATTAAGCAGATTTGACTTATCAAAAAGGAGGTCCTGGATGCTGTTTTGGCCCTCCCCAGGAAATCCTGACAATTGTAGCCAGGCATTCCTCTTCACAACCAGACCAGTGGCCAAACTTCTGGAAGCCATTTCTGCTGCATCCACTGCAGCCTGGAGGGCTACCTTTGCCACTAGCTTCCCCTCATCTAAAAGAGACTGACATTGGGCCCTGTCCTCTGTGGGAAGCTTGTCTGTGAAGTCTACAAGCCTCGCATAGGCATTAAAATCATATTTCACTAACAACGCTTGGTAGTTCGGGACACAAAATTGCAGGCCTGCAGAGGAGAAGACCTTCCTCTCCATCCAGTCTCTTACAGCCTTTATCTGCCAGGGTGGCCCTTTGATAGCATAACCTAGCCTATCCAGCAACTGCTTGTACCATGACTGAGTTGGGGACAGGATGGGAGAATATGAAGTCAGCCCCATTAGCAGGAATAAAATACCATCTCTTCTTTTTTTTTTTTTGGGTGTAGGGTCAAAGGATGCTGGAGTACGCCATACCACTCTGGCTGGTTCTAGTATGGCCTCATTGATGGGTAGAGCCACCTTACTCGGTCCTTGCAGCTGCAAGATGTCTAGGAGCCAGTGTTGAGGATCCTGGACCTCTGATGAGATCTATAGGACACTGGCCACTCTTTGTAACAGCTCCTGGTACTGGCAATGATCGTCCATAGTAGAACGCGAAGGAGGAGTGCCTGCTTCATCTGGGGATGATGAAGAGGCATCCATCTGAACTGTCAGTACCTGCAGATCTAATTCCACCTCTTCCGCCTTGTACATCAACAGACCCAGCTGGCGAGAGGGAGAGGAGTGTGACTCTTGAGAAGGGCCTTGACACCTGCCATAAGGATCCCAAGGACCACAATAAGACCAGAAAGGAGAATCGATTGGTGGTGGGGGACCCCAAGGAAATCAGTACCAGCGGTCCCTGGGGGTGTCGTACCCAGTGGAATGGCAAGCCTAACCCCTTGACTGTTTATCAAGGCTCAGCTGCCTCTGCAGAATTACCGCTGTGGCCAGCTCCTCTGAGAAAGGAGCTCCCTCAGGAGGACCAGGCCAGAAAGAAGCGGAGAATGCGGATAAGGGAAGAATATATCCTTCAGTGTTATGTAAATCTCAGTATACCCTGTTGTCTGTCTGAGTGGTTCCTGCAGTTAAGTTTGATGAATCTAGTGCATCTGCAGTGACAGAACTGTCTTTAGATGGATGAGGAGGTACCAACAATCGGTCCAGACCAGCACTCATAGACAGAAGTGCGGAGCATCTATCCTTATTTTGGTATGAGGTGACCGACAGAACTGGCAGTTCTTTCTTTTTATGCATCTTGCCCTCCAATTGGGGAAATTCATCAGAGTTGCTTCCTCAGGTTCTGCTTGCGACATCTTACCCGACCTGGACTGACTCAGGGAGGAAGTGCGTTTCTTATGGACTGTCCTCAATGGGGATATGTCCTTGTGCTCATGGGGAGCACTGGAAGAAGAATCCTTGGGCCTAAATGTTGAGTGCTTCACTCCAAGGCACATGCTTGGAGGGGCACTGCTAGGCAGTTGAGGCCAACATATGGGGCGGTCTCCCTGGCCCATATCGGAGATGGGCCTTATAGCCTTTTCCATCAGGGACTTCTGTAGGAGAAGCTCCCAGGCTTCTCGAGTTCTGGGTGGCAAGGAGCAACAGATACTGCACTTTGCAGAGATATGTGCCTGTAACAGGGTTCACTCACCACTCTGGCACCTCCTACCGGCTGTCATGGAAAGTAGCTTTGCATGGTAGTGTGCCCTCTTCGGGTGGTGCATCGCCGCTGTCACTCCTGCTGTAGGACCCACATCTCTCCAAGGACTGTGGTATCCTCTTCAGCAAGACAGCCCTTAGGCCATGCCACATGCTCTGCTCCCCCATTCTGGGGGACCTGCAGTCCACTGTTCAGCCACTACCCTTAGTGGCTACTGCAGCGAATTGTCCGGCCACTTCCTCGTGACCCCAGCATCCTCTTTCCCCTTGCCTCAGGTCTCAGCCTGCAAACCCCAGCAGCCAGCCAGGAGCTGTCTCACATTCCCCTGCTCCCTGCTAACAGCACTGCTCTGTCCAGCTGCTGGCAGTTCTCTCAGTCCTCCAGAGACACAGTCCTTCCTCCCTGGGTTCCCAGCAGAGAACTGCCATCCTCTGCCCTGCAACTCCCTTTTTATATGGGTCTGCTTGGTCCTGCTTGGCTGCTCCCTTCAGCCCTTCTCTGATTGGCTGCCTCCTGCGCAGCCTCCCTAGGGGTCTATTAACCCCTTAGAGCCCCATGTGGGGCAGGTGACCCATCACAGTGCCTCATCCAGACAGTACAGGCAACATTGATTTTCATCACAGATGGAGAAGGATTGAGGGCAGGAGATGCAGTTCTTGAATCCTGGGACTCTGGGCATAGCCCCAGAGCTGGGGAGGGGTTCCCAACTGGGCAGAAAGAAAAACTATATTGTATTATAAACTTTTAAACTACTAATCTAAGAATACATCTGTTTACAAATGTTTTATTTATAGGTTGTACACCAAAGAGAAGGAGGACACAATTCTGACTCAGGCCATGTCACAGTAGGAAAAAACTAGAGAAGGGTTGACCTACACTGGCTCTTATACCTTCGGTTGGGAGCATGAGGAGAGCTACTGCGCATGTGCAGGTCAATGGACATTGCTTTGAAGAATTTCTGGACTTGGGTCCATGGTACACATGTGTAACTACATATGGAATACATATAGGGAACATCACTCAAAAAAGAAGGTAACAAATATACTTTCCTTTCTATAATCCTAAATGTAAACACCTGTGATCATTAAAGCACATGTATACATTGGGAGAGCAGGAGATACATTCAGAGCTTTGAAAATACTCAAAGAGGGACAGAGAGAGAGCTAGCAAGTCACTGCTGGAGCAGGAGGGCTAATGCAAGGCAATTTGGACTGTTTATGGGAGAATTAAGGTTCTTTTGTTTATTAAGGATTTAGTATTTCTTGTCATATACTCTTGTTATATAACTTTGGTTAGTTAACCTATATGTGACTTTCCTTGGTTGTTCCTTTTAGTGACACTAGCATTCCATCCCTTCTGCAAGAGGCTAACAAAGACATTGGGATATGTCTGTGAATTGTAGTTGTTCTAGGGTAAATTTCTACCTCCCCAAAAGATCCTTCAGCCCAAGAAAAATAGGTGGTAATCAGGGCCGTCTCTAACTTTTTTGCCGCCCCACGCAAAAAAGAAGAGTGCCGCCCACCCCCGCACCGCCGTACCCCCCCGTGCCACCGAAATCCCCGCCCCCCCAGCACCACGCTGCGTTAATCCCCA